TGTGTGTGTGTGTGTATCTGACTGTGTGTGTGTGTGTCTGACTGTGTGTGTGTGTGTTTGTGTCTGACTGTGTCTGTGTATGTGTCTGACTGTGTGTGTTTGTGTATGTGTCTGACTGTGTGTGTGTGTTTGTGTGTGTTTGTGCGGGGGGGGAGGGGGGCGCCTGAGTTTTGTCCTGCCTAGGGCAGCACAAAACCAGGATACACCACTGTGTGTACTCAGCGGTCTGTGTGTGTATTCAGCAGTCTGCTAAATACAGACAGACTGCTAAGTACACAGACAGACTGCTAAATACACATACAGACAGACTGCCGAGCACACACACAAACTGCTTAATACACACACAGAGATGTTAATTAGTTCGGACAACTGTATGAGTTGTTTTTTCTAAACTTAAACCTCAGTATTCAGATTTAATTGCCGTTTTGGCACTTTGAGGGAAAAAAATTGGCATGTATTATGGTTTGGACACTCGGGCTCAAAAAGGTTCGCCATCACTGATCTAGGGAAATGTATTTCAGAAACATATGCAGCACTATGTCTGTTGTGTAAGGAGCCTCTGGCAAATTGCAAACAGAGAGTAACTCAAACATAAAATGTAGAGCCTCTTTAAAGCAACGTGACAAAAGTTTATTAAGAGGGGGAAATATTTCTTCTGAATTAAAGGAAGGGCAATATTTAATAGGCAGTATTCTGCAGATATATATTTTAAAAAAAAAAAGAGTTTTACCACTTTTCTTTTAATACATCAATACTAAAAATGAAGATTTTGACAATGGACTTTGGGCACAAGGCCACGCTATACGTCTATCAGTTTTTATGAGACGGCAAAGGAAGGGTGTGGTGAAAATTAATTAAATCCTCTTGTCAAATGCTACGGTAGGTTGTTACTTATTATAATTTTTATAATTGGCTATAAAGTTGTCAACAACCTGAAAAGTATTATTGATACCACTAAAAACCGTAAAATTAGCACTTTCCAGTTGGATATTGAGCAGAAACTAAAACAAGGTGTGGATTAGGAATGTGTGGATTAGGAATGTGTGCAAAGAATGGAGTTTTGTATAGAAGAAGAATGTTTAATGTAGAGTTAAATATTAAATCTAAATAACATTACATGCCTGGTGTGCCATTAGTCCTAATGGATTTAAATATCCTAGTATAGGGTTTATCAAAGTGAATATATGGTGCATTTGTTCATGGCCAAAAAGAAAACAAAAAGAATTGCATTAAAAATTGCACTAGCAATATTTTGTATCACCCTTAGCTTGTTGTTCGGTGGTTGTGGTGGTGGGAGGGGGTAGATTAACATAGCCAGAACTGAATAATTTATATAAACACATCAAATTTGGATGTACAAAATGTTAGAAGAATTTTGCAAAAGATGTACAGTTTATTTTTGTAATTTATACAATTGAACATAGAAACATAGAATGTGACTGCAGATAAGAACCATTCGGCCTATCTAGTCTGCCCAATTTTCTAAATATGCCTATCCCACGCATGCTTAAACTCCTTTACTGTGTTAACCTCTACCACTTCAGCTGGAAGGCTATTCCATGCGTCCACTACCCTCTCAGTAAAGTAATACTTCCTGATATTATTTTTAAACCTTTGCCCCTCTAATTTAAGACTATGTCCTCTCGTTGTGGTAGTTTTTAACGTATTAGTACTGGTTCTTTAATGACTACAAAATATGCGAAGTCTAAGTATTTTCACTCATTATAACTGTTTACAGGACTGACCCTGAAATAAGACTAAACCGTGCAAGTTTTTGTTATATTTGTTTAGTTTCCTGTTCAGTTATTTAAGAAAACCAAAAACCTGTCAGCCATTTTG